AATGGAAAGGTCAAGACTGTCAAATCGAAGAAGGACCCACAAAGGACGATTCAAGTCATCAATTCCACTGTTGGAGGGACAAAAGTGAAGCTTTCGCAGAAGAAATTGGGAGAAAAGCTTCACCTTCCCAATTCTGGAGTTGAAATTGGGAGACTTCCAGCCAAGAATCTGGATTGGAACATTATTGGAATTTCTGGGCAAAATCCATCTGGCCCAGTGAAGAAAACTCATCTGAACAACGACTACAAGCTAGTCCTTGAACTGGTCATCGCATGCCTCGAATGTGGAAGTGGAGGACATGCTGATGACATCACCCAAGAAAGGGCCTTCATCATCAATGCCCTCATTACCAAGTCTAAGGTAAATTGGGCTGCTCATTTCTTCAATTCCATCTCAAAGCATCTGGGAAAACCCAACCAGAAATACCTTTGTCAAGGTCTGTACATTGGACATATCTTGGAGTCCTTGGGTGCTGCTTCTGAAGGAAAGAAGTATGAAGCCAAATATTGGCTATACTATCTGTCTTCCAAAGGGGAAAACAGAGCTGGTGCTAGCACAACTGCAGAGGAAAGTTCTTCAGACAATGTCCTTATCATGAGTCTGAACAAATCAGTAAAGAGAAAGCAAGTGGTGTCTCCCTCTCCCAGTGCTGAAGCACCACAGAATCTTGCTCCAATCAATCTTGAAGAAGAAGAAGAATTCTCTGACCAAGGAGAACTACAAAGGAAAAAGAAGAGGAAAATCACCTCTCCCTCAACATCTGGACATATCAATCTCAAGAAGAGCAAGCTGTAGAAGCCTAGAGAAGTTCTGCAGAAGCTGAGAAGGAAACTCAAATGGCAGAACTGGAGGCCTCCAAATCTCCAGTAGCCATTTTTGAAGGACAAAATGAAGCTAAAGAAAGAGACTCCCTCTCTCGGGATATATCAAATTTAAAACTTGGGGAAGCACAAGAAGAATCTGAAAGGACCCTGAAGATCAATGATGATGAAGATGTACAAGATGATGCTGAATCTCTTCCTAAAACAAGGTGTGTGTATATATAGGGAAGGGGTGGAAACCGGATTGAGTTCCAAAAATATGACTGTTGGGCATTAAATTCGTTGCCCAACAGTCAAAAAATTTTGAATCGCAGTAGGCTTCCCAGCGATGGGTAGAAGTTCCCATCGATGGTAAGGTCGCCACTGGAAAGCGAAGGAAGAACCCAAGGCTGCCTTCCCAGCGATGTTTGGATATTCCCATCGATGGGAAGGTGGCTTCTGGAAATTGACGAAGAAAAGAACATGGCCTTCGCAGCGATGTTAAAACCATCCCATCGCTGGGTTGGTAGTTTTGAAAAATCCGTTAAAAATTTTTAAAAAAAAAGTGTCAAACACCCAGCGATGGGAGAAAGTTCCCATCGATGGGTAGGGAGGTTCTGGAAAAAAATTTTGAAACTAAAAACATTCACCCAGCGATGGGATGAAATACCCATCGATGGGTAAGGTTTTTCTGGAAATCCGTTAAAAATTTTAAAAAAATAGAGTCAATTACACATCGATGGGAAGAAGCACCCATCGATGGGAAGAGGGGTCCTGGTAAGATGAGGACTCCCCTCCCAGCGATGGTATAACGCACCCAACGCTGGTTCCCCCTGATTTCCAGAAATCTTCACCTCGAACCGTCCCTGCAAAAAAGAGTTAGAAAACCCTCCGTGTAACGCCCTACAACCCGGTCTATTAGAATTGATTATTTTAAATAATTAATTACTGTTCCGGTCTAGAGTTGGGGAAAATTAAAAAAAAAGTTCTTAGAAAAATTATTTGAACACGTCATTAAATTTGTTTTGACTGTCTGATTCCAAAAACGTAAACGGTTTTCAATTTGGACCCATTCAAGGGAAAAAGCGCGTACCATTTAGGTCAGATTTTACACCACAGAGTAGAGTTTAGGGAGATAACTCCCCATTTAATTCCTTCAAAAAACTCACGCCACTACACCTTCCCTCACCATTAATTTTCAACATTTTAATTCACCATTAACACTCATTACTCCATCATCAATATATATCAACTCCCTCTTCATTTCCTTCACCTCCCTCACATTTTGGTAACTCCCACTCACATCATCTCCTTTCCTCCTTCCCTTTGTGCATTTTCGGCCAACCCACAACAGCTCAAGGAGGGATTCCGGGAGTAGGCGAGGAGGTGGAAGAGAAGGAAGTTCACGCGAGAAGCCGATCGTTCGTTCGTTCGTTGGTCCATTCGTTACCATCATCCGTTCATTTCGTTTCTGTTTCATCAACCCCATCATTTAGAGGTGAGTAGTTGTCCCTCTAATTCTAGAACATCAAGTCATA